ATGCTGATAATGTAAGGAAAATTGTGCATTAAATAGGCTAGGGAAGTTATATCCAGGAAACTTTTACAAAAGAAACAAACACACTTTGTCTCTGAAGTCTCAGCGAAGCTAAACAGCAGCACACACAAAAAAAAGTTCAACATGAAAAATGTTTTTGCTCAAGTGCACTTGCCAAATGAAGACGGGCCATATAATGGATCAATCAAAAAACGCTGTTTATTAACGAGCTGTGCTAATTTCTTATTAAGTAATGCAGTTCAAGTTAACGGCATGTGCACTGATTCTGAATCTGTCGGCATGGCGAGCGCGAGAAGCGGCAGTGCATAGAGGTTGACGCGCGTCTCTCTATAATGTGATTGTGAAGTAAATGGGAGCGGGAATTCACCGCATTATGAACTCGTCTCGCAATTCCCCCAACCTCAGACCAAATGTTAGGCCATGTAGACAGGCCAGCCTTTATAAATATCATATTAAGCAGAAATGTGAAATTTACCTTAGCATATTAGAGGAAGACGCTGTCGCTGATATCTGGATTGAATTGGTGCGTGATAAATGCACTTCCACAGCAGTCACGAGTAACAACAGGAATAGGCGGTTAAAGTTTTCTATGCTTAATTTGAATTGATGACATGACAGTCACGAGACCGATTACTCGATCCAATCACGTTGATGGATAAAAATAAAATTAAAACAAGTAACGACGACCACAAACAGAAGGAAAATAGCGGAGAAAAAGACATTTTGCAAGACGTAAACAACACTGGTCCAGAAGCACTTCCTGTTTCAGTTTTTTAACACTACATAAAGGCTGGGATAAAATACAACCAACAGAACATATAAAACTGAATCAAAAAAGTTAAATAAACATCTTTAAGATGTTTTCTTTACATGTGAAATAAAGAAAACAGTTACAAACTGAAACAGGAAGTGTTTCTGGACCAGTGTTGTTTACATCTTGCAAAATGGTCTATAGACAGGGCATCATACAACAGAATGGAATCAGACACAACAAAACACAGATCACAACTTAAGAATAATAACATTCAGAAAATAAGTGAGTTTTGAGTAATTTTTTGAATATATTGTAATCTGGAAATGGAGCTGGCAGGTAAACCAATGAAAAGGTAATTACAGTCATCAAGACATGATGAGACAAATGCATAGATGACAGTTTCACAATGGATGACAGACAGTTATGAAGGACTGAGCTGGGAAATGGGACATATTTGAAAGAATGAAGATTTGGTGATAGACTTAATAAGAGCTTGAAAGAAGAGAAAGGTGTCATAAAACAACAACAACAACAACTAGATTTTTAACGGTACTTGAGGGTTTGAAGTGAGTACCAGCAAGAAGAAATCAGTAGGGGTATTGCTAGATGGGAGTAGTTCCAATAAAAATGATCTCAGTTTTGTCCATGTTTTTTTTTTTTTTTTTTTTTTTTTTAAACTCTCTTTTGGGGAGTTTGCAAAACCATATGAAAGGGTTTGCAATGTGATGGTCTTATAATCGTCATTAGAGCAGCTGCACCAAAAAGACCATGAAAGCTTCACTAGTTTCATTGGTGAACAGCAATCATCATTATTATTTTTTTTTTACACAACATTTACAGGAGGTTTTTATTTATTTATTTTTATTTGCAATATGATAACTATTTGAAATGTACATATTTCTTTCTATTCTGTAGACCACTTGGGCAAATTTGAGTCCAGCTTTGTGCTTTTTAAATATTTTTGCTTTCCTGCCATCTTGTGGTCAATGTGGATAATTAATAAAAAAAAATTTCCATACACACCAGTTCATCATTAACTGTAACAGAGCTTATATTGTGTTATTCATATTGCATTGATTTAGAAGTCATTACAATCATTTTTAACTGAACAACACATTAGTAATTATTACTATTAATGCAATTAGTCTAAAGTGCGTCTGTCACATTTATGGAAGTTGGTTTAACTGTGCCAATAAATTTAATTTATATTATAACACCTTAAAGATGTTAATTTTTTTTAATACAGTTATGGTTGTTCTATAATTTGTCATGAACAAAATGATATGCATTTTAATGAGAATAAAAAATAAAACGACAGTGAGAGAACAACATTTCAGGATTTAATTATCCCATTCTCATGTCATGGATGTGTGAATTAAAATGTCTAGCAGTTCTTAGAGACCTCAGTATTTTTCCTGTGTTGACACTGGAAAGTTTTGGCAATCACTCATCCCTCTGGCCCCACTGTTAAACTGCTGAAGTGTCTGAAGATAGATGCTATTCCTCACCTGAGTGGAATTTTCACATGAGAGAGGACAACACAGCTTTGACCTACTGGGTGCAGACTCACATATAAAATCCTGGAAAAAAAGGTGCAATGACGTCTGAGCATCCATGAGGTGCAAGCGATCTCAGAAGGATCTAGATCCATTTAAAAGTTCAACACTTAGTTTAATGCTGAAATTAAGCCTCATGACAAGGGACAAAATGTCTGTAAAAGTTTTAAATAATATTATTTATGAAGATAGATTTAATATTTTTTAATTGACACAATTGACTATATTGATGTTATTAAATAATTGGACATATATAAAAGCTTTAACCATCTATGGTATGCATTGTTACATGCATTATTATATTTTAATATTTGTTCTATATTTGATTAAAAAAAAAGCTCCAGTAACAAAGATAAAAAGTAAAAATATACGTATATACAGTATATAATGCTATATGTGCAGTGGAAAAAAAGGAATTCATGTTAATGATCAATTAACATCAATTTTAACTTGTAAAAACTCTCGATATGGTTCAAATAGCAATGTTAATATCTCAATTTTCTTCAAACTAAGTTTATCTTTAAAACACATTCCCACGGTTTCACAGTAAGCCTATAGTCTCAGACTAAACTTATTTTAACTGAAAGCAAATTGCAGTGGCATATCTTAAAATCTGTTTTTTGGGGGGGGGGTTTCAGGCATGTTTATAAAAGCTACTTAAATATCATAAATGAACTAAGGCCTAATCCTGGCTTAATCTAAACCCTGTTTGCGATACGAGGTCTTTAACTCACTGCACATGCAGCAAGAAAAAAATCAGGCTGTTAAATAAATTGACAGAAACGTGTTTAATAAACCATTCTGAAGAGCATTGACATTTTTATCTATGCTGAATTCAAATCCAAAAATATAAACATTAATTCTTTTTACAAAAGTTTTTTTTTTCCACAATTGTGCACATAGTATCCTTCACAAGACAACAAAATAAATATATTGCATATTTAAAGGAACACTCCGACTTTTTGGGACTTTAGCCTATTCACCTTACCCCCCAGAGTTAGATAAGTCCATACATACCTTTTTCATCTCCGTGCGTGCTATAAGTCTGTTTGACGCACCCACCGCTAGCCTAGCTTAGCACAAAGACTGGATGTGAATGGTTGCAGCTTTCATACTAATCCAAATGAGTGACAAAATAACGCAAACGTTTTCCTATTTACATGTTGTGGTTTGTATAGTCACAGAGTGTGCAAATATCAAGGCCATATGAGACACAGACATCTTTTGACCGTATAAATACTATATTTTCTGAAGGGGAAGCACTGCTACTTGGGCAGAGTGATAACAATCACCTGAGACGCACCGTGACGAGGAGCAGAGAGTTCGCTTCGCTCAGCGTTGGAATAAAGAGTCAGCAATTACTAACGTTAGATAGAAAAGCATAGTTTATCATGGGTGTTTGCTTTATTGTATGAGCTGTGACAATAAACAGGGGAGACCAGGTTAATACAGTACCATGTTTCATTGATTTCCAACCAAAAACGCACCCAGATTTATAAATATCACATGAATAAATAATTATTATTACAGGAATCAATATATTTTAAATGCAATTTATTAGCTGAACCAAATGTATTCAACAGTAGCCTATATAATATACAGTATTGCATTACTAGGATAGAATAAGGGGAAAGTAATAGCACAAATTGTTTTTGCACAATGAACTCACAGCCTATCGTACCCTTTTGCACGCTCAAGTTCGTTATTTCCATGGTTATTTCAAATTTAGGCTACTAGGCGCACCGCGCGCAGGGTGCAAGTTCAACGCGGTGAACGCGCTCATTTTTTTTTTCCCAAGCGCGTCCGCACCGCATCAAGATAAAAACATATTCATACCCTAATCATATAATAGTGTCACTAACGTTACATTAGCTCTGGCTAAAGGCACTGTTACAGTAGGTCATCTAAAAACATAACGGAACACTTACCTCAGCCGCAGGTGATCCACTTGTCCTGTCTGTGCTATCGATGGGATGGCCGTATCCTTCAGCACATTATGGTCCGTGTGGCAAATTCCATTTTTTCAAAATAGTCGTCCTCATTGAAATGTACCGAGCAAACATAATGTCCCTTGATAATCTTATGGTGTGTTTGGATAAATATCCAGAGTAAGTTAGCCATTTCTTCATCCAGTCAGCGTTTTTAGTTGGAATTCTGTGAAACATGGTATTACCTCCCCTGTTTACAGTCGCAGCTATTTACAATAGAGCGAAAACCCATGACTCTAAACTATGCTTTTACTATTTATAAATTGCTGACTCTATTACCCAAACACCGAGCGAACTCTCCGCTCCTCACCACGGCGTGTCTCCGGTGATGCGGTTATTACGCCGTCAAAGTAGCAGTGCTTCGCCTTCAGAGAATAGTTCCCAGGTTTTATACGGTTAAAAGATGTCTGTGTCTCATTTGACTTTGTTATTTGTACATTATGTGACTATACAAATCACAACATGTAAATAGGAAAACGTTTGCGTTATTTTGCCACTCATTTGGATTAGTATGAAAGCTGCAACCAGTCACATCGAGTCTTTGTGCTAAGCTAGGCTAGCGGTGGGTGCGTCAAACAGACTTATAGCACGCACGGAGATGAAAAAGGTATGTATGGACTTATCTAACTCTGGGGGGTAAGGTGAATAGGCTAAAGTCCCAAAAAGTCGGAGTGTTCCTTTAAAACCCCCACATGCCTTTAACTGGCTGAATTATTACAATAAGGGTTTTGGAAAAAGGAAGACGGATTTCGGTTAGGTCTTAATAAGGCTTTAGTTTTGAATATAAAGCATAAAAATACCCCCAAAAAACTAACTTGCTAACTTAAGTTGCTAACTTGAGTCGATTCCACTGCAAAAAAAAAAAACAAAAAAAACAAAAAAAACAACAACAGAGAAACCAGTTGATGTAATATATTTGCGTCAAAAGCTATTGCATAAAAGCAATGATAGTTCAGTTTTACTCCATTGGGTCAACTTCCTATAAGGAGGATGGTGTTACTTGGGTCCAGGCTGTAGGAAGGCGTACATGGGCTGAACTGTCATATTGTGAGGCCTCGTGCACTTCAGTCACAGCTGTGGAGTCATATACCTGAGAGCCAGAAGAGGGTGCTGTGACTGGGTGAGCCAGGCTGCTGTAGTGACTGGCAGAGCCGCGGAGAAACTGGGAGCCCAGACTGCTGGCCATACTTCCAGCCTGAGACACTGAGGTCAAAGGTGAGTTCCCTACAGACCACAAGCTGGTGTACTGACTGCAAACAGGACACAAAGCAACCAAGAGGAAAACATTATTGGTCAGATTAGCAGTTTTCAAACTGGAAACACTCAGAGGTTTGCAAGGAAAGGTGCAAATGTGAAAAGGTTTATTGTACATGATGTTACATTACTCAAATGATGTCTTGAAAGAATTTGGAAAATGTTTGATATCTCTTATGAAATGTACATGTAAGATCATTGGTGATTTGTTTTAAGTTAATCTCACTGCTGTTTAGGATAAACAACTGAGATATTAAAGGGATAGTTTACCCAAAAATGAAAATTAGCCAACGATTTACTCACCCTCAAGTAATCCTAGCTGTATATGACTTTCTTCTTTCAGATGAATAGAATTGGAGTTGTATTAAAAAATGTCTGGGCTCTTCCAAGATTTATAATGGCAGCGATTTGCTGTTTCTGTTTTGAAGTCCATAAAAGTGCATCTATCCATCATAAAAGTGCATACATCCATGATAAAAGTGCATCTATCCCTCATAAAAGTGCATCTGTCCATCATAAAAGTCTATCTAAAGTGCATCTATCCCTCATAAAAGTGCATCTATCCATCATAAAAGTGTATCTGACCATCATAAAAGTCTATCTAAAGTGCATCTATCCATCATAAAAGTGCATCCATCCATCATAAAAGTGCATCTATCCATCATAAAAGTGCATCTATCCATCATTAAAGTGTATCTATCCTTCATAAAAGTGCATCTATCCATCATAAAAGTGCATCCATCATAAAAGTGCATCCATCTATCATAAAAGTGCATCTATCCACCACAAAAGTGTATCTATCCATCATAAAAGTCCTTCTAAAGTGCATCTATCCATCATAAAAGTGCATCCATCCATCATAAAAGTGCATCGATCCATCATTAAGGTGTATCTATCCTTCATAAAAGTGCATCTATCCATCATTAAAATGTATCTGTCCTTCATAAAAGTGCATCTATCCATCATAAAAGTGCATCCATCCATCATAAAAGTGCATCTATCCATCATAAAAGTGCATCCATCTATCATAAAAGTGCATCTATCCATCATTAAAGTGTATCCAACCATCATAAAAGTGCATCCATCCATCATAAAAGTGCACCCATCCATCATAAAAGTGCATCCATCATAAAAGTGCATCCATCCATCATAAAAGTGTATCTATCCATCATAAAAGTCCATCTAAACTGCATCTATCCATCATAAAAGTGCATCCATCCATCATAAAAGTGCATCAATCCATCATAAAAGTGCATGTATCCATCATAAAAGTGCATCAATCCATCATAAAAGTGCATCTATCCATCGTAAAAGTGCATCAATCCATCATAAAAGTCTATCTATCCATCATAAAAGTGCATCCATCCATCATAAAAGTGCATCCATCCATCATAAAAGTGCATCTATCCATCATAAAAGTGCATCCATCCATCATAAAAGTGCATCAATCCATCATAAAAGTGCATATATCCATCATAAAAGTGTTTCTATCCATCATGAAAGTCCATCTAAAGTGCATCTATCCATCATAAAATTGCATCCATCCATCATAAAAGTGCATCTATCCATCATTAAGGTGTATCTATCCTTCATAAAAGTGCATCTATCCATCATTAAAGTGCATCTATCCATCATAAAAGTGCATCAATCCATCATAAAAGTCCATCCATCCATCATAAATGTGCATCTATCCATCATTAAAGTGTATCTATCCTTCATAAAAGTGCATCTTTCCATCATAAAAGTGCATCTATCATCATAAAAGTGCATCTATCCATCATTAAAGTGTATCTATCCTTCATAAAAGTGCAATCCATCATAAAAGTGCATCCATCCATCATAAATGTGCATCTATCCAGGATAAAAGTGTATCTATCCATCATAAAAGTCTATCTAAAGTGCATCTATCCATCATAAAAGTGCATCCATCCATCATAAAAGTGCATCCATCCATCATAAAAGTGCATCTATCCATCATAAAAGTGCATCTATCCATCATTAAAGTGTATCTATCCTTCATAAAAGTGTATCTATCCTTCATAAAAGTGCATCTATCCATCATAAAAGTGCATCTATCCATCATAAAAGTGCATCTATCCATCATAAAAGGGCTCCACACCGCTCCGGGGGGTTAAAAAAGGCTTTCTGAAGCGAAGTGATGCGTTTGTGTAAGAAAAATATATTAAAACTTTATAAAGTAAAATAACCAGCTTTCGGCCAAACTAACATACAGATTCGACTTAAAGGGTTAGTCCGTCACATGCATCACACACATGACCAGCGGTGGCCAATAGTGAGTCTACCCGTGACGTATAACACAGAACAGTTGCGCAGTTTCACTAACTTACGTGAAATCTCGAGGCCAACAGAGAAGGAAATGAATAGTTGAATAAAGTCATTATTTTTGTTTGTTTGTTTTTTGCGCACAAAAAGTATTATTGTCGCTTAATAAACTTAGGATTGAGCCACTGTAGTCACTGTAGACTGATATTTTAACAATGTCTTTAACTTTTCTGGGCCGGCCAGTTTTGATCCCTTCGAAGCCTATGGAGGAGTGATCCAGCTCTCAGATTTAAAAAAAAAAATAAATCCTTATTTGTGTTCCGGAGATGAATGAATTCGTCTTATGGGGTTGGAACAACATGAGTGTGAGTAATTAATGACAGAATTTTAATTTTGAGATGAACTATCCCTTTAAGTCTTATACGAGTATTGCGACGTACTGCTGATATTTACGCTACACCATGACGCACTACGCTACTTCTGACATCGCAAGGTTCTTAAGTTGCAGAGCAAGTAGACTTAGTATGGCCTTTTGGCTGGAAACTAGAATTTTACTTTGTTAAAAATGTTAACTTAACATGTTAAAAATTTATATTTTTTCATTGCTTCACTTTAGAAGGCCTTTGTTAACCCCCTAGAGCTGTGTAGAGCACTTTTATGATGGATATATGCACTTTTATGATGAATGGATGCACTTTTATGATGGATGGATGCACTTTTATGATGGATTGATGCACTTTTATAGACTTGAAAACAGAAATAGCAATTCGTTGCCATTATAAAGCTTGGAAGAGCGAGGACATTTTTAAATTGAACTCTGATTGTATTCGTCTGAAAGAAGAACGTCATATACACCATAACTTGAGGGTGAGTAAATCATGGGCTAATGTTAATTTTTGGGTGAACTATACCTTTAAAGGTATTTTGTTTGTAATTTTACTTTCCTATGTGGATGTTTAAGAACTATAGAAAGAAACAAGGAAAATTATAGTGTGTCGTTAATTACTTCATAAATAAAAACCACTTAGTTGCAATTAAGTAGTAGTGAAAGTGTGTGATTCGTTCTCACCTAGAGTTTGAGTTTGGGGGAGAGCCGTGGCCCATTGGCAGCACAGCGGAGTGGGAGGACATCTGCAGACTGGACCAGTTATCATGAGACGGCAACATGGAGAGACAGGTTGAGCTTTCAGAGTAACCATCTGCAATATGAACAACACAGAGGATCTAGTCACATGACCAGTGTCAAACCTGCTCGGTCAATAGCTTTAGAGATCTCTCTCCTACACATGGAGGTGATGTGGCCGAGCGTTCAAGCATTCCACCACCAAAGTTCCCCCGTTTATGAGCATGAGCCCAAACACAAAAGCTGCAGGAATGTCAGACACTCTGCGGTGAGTAGAACTTGTTTGAGTGGCTCATTAAAGGAACAGTTCAGGCTAAGAAGAAAATTCTCATTATAACCGTCATTTAACAAGATTAAAGGGAAAAAATCACCCAAAAATGAAAATGATCCCATAATTCACTCACCCTCAAGCCATCCTAGCTGTATATGACTTCTTCTTGCAGCCAAACACAATCCGGAGTTATATTTAAAAATATCCTGGCTCTTTCAAGCTTTATAATAAGAGTACATATTTTGAAAGATTTTGAAGCCCAAAAACATCCATCCATCATAAACGCAATCCATATGGCTCCAGAGGGTTAATAAAGGCCTTCTGATGCAAAAACCACGATGCATTTTTGTAAGCAAAATATATTGTTATCAGCTATAATCACTGGCTTCCAGTAACGGCCGAGTCGAGTTCTAGCCGAAGAGTGACCTCTGACCTGACGCAGAGGATAGAGCAAAACAAAACACCAGTCACGAATTAGAAGTCAAAAATGAGAAGTTTTACAGATAAATGTGGGTGGAGCTTGAGTTTGTTGCCCAGCCCTGTTTGTTTGAATCGCGAGCGGCGTCTACTCTCACTCGACTCTCTCACGAACGCGCGAACGGATGTTACCGGAAGCTAGTGATTACAGTTTATAAAATCACAATTATGGATATTTTTCTTACAAAAATGCATCATGTCGCTTCAGAAGGCCTTTATTAACCCCCTGGAGCGGTATGGAGCACTTTTATGGTGGATGGATGCGCTTTTTTGGGCTGCAAAATCTCAGTTACTGTTCATTCAAATTATTTAGCTTGGAAAAGCCAGGATATTTCAACACTATCTCATGACCAAGTCGTACGAACTCGACGAATGATTAAAAAGTGGCTAAATCATAACAATTCATACGACCTCACTCGTACGAATTAGTCCGATTTTGCTAAATCATACATATTTTACGAATTGGCCAACTCGTATGAATTCATTCGAATGACCTACCCCTTACCCCGCCCCTAAACCTAACCATCACGTGGGTTTAGACAAATCATACAAATTCGTACGAGTGAGGTCGTACGAATTAGTACGAATCAGACACTTTTTAATCATTCGTCGAATATTTTTTTAATATAACTCCGATTGAGTTTTTCTTAAAGAAAAAAGTAATTTACACCTAGTATGGCCAGCCTGGTCTCATTGTTAATACGTGGGTATTTTACGTTTTTGCAAAGATAGAAAACGTACTTTTCAGTACGTTTGGATAGATGCTGAAACGTATAATATGGACGTATCTGCAACATTTAAACGTAACATTATTACGTTTTTACAGCGACAAAACGTAAACTATTTACGTATATTGTATATCATTAAGATATCTGTATAATTTCAATTTTTACCATTTTATAGATAAATGTAAGATCCCGTAACCCTAATCCCAAACCTAAACATACCCATTTTATACTTAATATAAAAAAGGATAAAACGTAACGGACAGGTGTTGGGAAAGTGAAGTTTTATTAACAATATAGCATTAAAATATATTTTGAGCCACATCCTACTCCTACCCCTAAACCTACCCATAACAATTGCTTAAAACTACGTAACAAACTACAATTATGAAGAAAAACATAACTAACAGACAAGTATAATCACAATAATTTATTTATTGCGAAAATGTCAAAACCGATACCAAAAGCCGTTCACATGATGAAGCGTTGCTGTCGCAGTCTTCTCTCTGGCAGTATTGTACGTTTTGTATGAAGTACAGAGCAAAAATTAAATTACTAATGAAAACGTTAATCCGGCTTCGGTTCGCGCTTCTCCATTTCAAATGAACTAAACTAACCAACCGTCACAGTCCTTCATGTCGCAAACTGTGACGAAGCAGGGAAGAGCCAATGAACGTTTGATATCACTGCCGTAAAAGATGACGTATCGCTTTTTTTGAATTTGAATTTTTGAATTTCATCACCAGCGCGGGGTTTGACATGTACGGTCGCTGCTGAGAATGGAGAGATCACGACTGGATAAGAGGCTGAATTAGGAGTTGTTTCTTGCAAACAACTATGGATTCTAAAGATTTGGATTAACGTTACATCAAACTAATAAAATTGATGTCTTTTGTGAATTTTTGTTGTGTTTTATAGGAGAAAACGCTTTATGTGTCTCAAGGTAAATAAACTATTACAAAATGGTTGAACGAGTAACGTAAAGAATGTATTTTTAAGGTTTTATAGTGTATTGTTTAATACCATGCAGGCGAAACGAGCAAAATGTTAATATTTATGAGTATTATATCAATAAATGCGACTGAACACTTCATTAATAAAACAGTGGAATGCAATAGAGTCAAAACATAATGCTACGACATTAATATGCATAAATTATGATACGTACAATGTGTACGTCGGTGGATTTGTTCATACGTAAATAAATTACGTTTTTGTGCTGTCAATACGTAAATATTTTACGTTTTAGTACTGTAAATACGTCTGTATTATACGTTTCTGCGCATATAAAACATAATTATATATACGTATGATAGAACGACACTTTACGTACAAATACATACGTATTCTCATGAGATCACGTTGAGTATGGCTTGATGGTGAGTAAATTATGGGATCATTTACATTTTGGATGAACAAACCCTTTAAAGGCCAAACTTTCAGCAGAATTTCCATTCAGTAAAGTAAATAGGGACAGGTGTAAATTGTCTAAAAATTGTAAATTATGTAAAAGTGAAATCGGAATATATAGCTTAGTTCAATTATCAAATTAAAGGGTGCGATTTAATTAAATAAGTACGATATAGACTGTAGCGCTGAGTGTTTCAGAGTAAAGAGTGTTACCATGTTTACAGTCTTAGTGCCTCAGTTCACAAACTAACAGTGAGTTCGACATGCATTTTGGGAATGCAATGTGCTAGGTTCGCTTTATTTACACATTCACATAATTTCCAACCATTCCAAAAGATTAAATATTTTATCTAGGTACCCTTGTCATTACAGATAACAATGTCATATATTCAATGTTAGGGGTTATTTTTTTTCAACCAACTGTAAAGTACTGCAATACTTTTAAATATACAAAATATCTGAGTAATTTTTCAAATAAGTAATGCAAGTTACTTTGTTTTCCCATATATTTACTTTACTGACACCTCTCTGGTCCCCATGTTGAGAGAAATTTACGAGTAAGATGCAAATGCGTTGTGTGCATTGTATGAACATGATGATTAAAAGCATTGAAATGCAAACTCAGAATACTATGCAAACCTACAATAATTAAATGCTAAACTACACACATATACTTTACGCATTTATTCTCACTTTATGAAACAATGTCTTTGCTGCTGACCTTTAATGATCCAATTCAACCATATTTGAATATGCTGAATGAGATATGAGACACAGTTTAGCCCATTGTCTATTTCAGAAAGTATGTTTATGTTTTCAGGAGGTATGTTTTGCAGAACCTGGACAATATGGAAGGGAGGAACTTACTGGGAGAGGCAGTCGGGTGGGCATATGGGCTGGGGTATGGCGTAGACCGGTGACTTCTCAGAGTCGAGTAATGTTCACAGCCATGGGGTGAGGACAGAGAGAGCGGGCTGCCAAACTGTGCGTGAGGGTTTGCAGAAGGACAGAGAGACCCTGTGGCTGGCAGAAACCAGCTACTGACTGGACCAACAGGAAAATCAGAGTTAATGGGAAATTCGTTTTGCATTTAACTGAAACTATTATAACTGCTGCCCAACATAAACTGGACAGGATCAGGCCACATTTTAAAAAGAATTATGAAATAGCTTCAATCCGACTGAATGACATTTGATTATTGAGATTGATTTATAAAATTAATTTTGCTCTTACATTGAGAATAGCCAGAGTGTTGACTTTCACTGATATCCTCTATTATGTCCTTATGATCACTTCTGGGGGGAAAAGAAGACCTTTATATATCATGCAATACAAATATTCACATGGAGAGGGATTGGGGCTAATTGTTACACTGAACATTTGTCTATGGTGGTGAAAGTTATGGGTTAAAAAAAGACCAAAATGCTTGTTTTCTCTAATAGTTGGATTTGTAAATTGGTTTTAACATTTTTAATGGAAATGTATCCTCCATGGTGAAATTCCAATACATTTCCATGATTTGTTCTAATTATTTTAGGCCATAATATATATATATATATATATATATATATATGATATACATACAGTTTACGACAACAGGTATGTGTCTGTCTACACAAAACATTACTTTCAAACATAAAAAAAATATCAACTGGAGTAAAAAGTGACAACTAGCCCCACTCATGTATTTACAATACACATGTATTACTTTTTATGGTAACATTTTATTTTGTTGGTACCTTTTGAACACTCTGCTGACTATAAGTAACTTTTCAACTACATGTCAACGTATTCTACTAACATTCTATTGACAGTTAATGTTAATTGTAGACAACAGAATGTGTTCAAAATTAAGTGAACCTCTTATAGGTATAGTCTAATAAGCAGCCATACCTTTCCTTGGCATCCAGGAAAGCTTTGGCGAATGGATTGTATTTAATTTTGAGAGCAGTAACCTTAAAGAGCAAATTGCAGATGTTATTCAATGTCATTATGCACCATATAAATGTTCATTTGTTGACATGCTTTATAAAATCATATTGTAGAAAAATACAACACGTTACCTCTTCATTCTGGTATGCAGTAACTGCTATGAATTGTGTCTCAGAGAAAGAATGAGTGGTGATCATTCTCTGTGGACCACCAACGCGCACTATGTGGATACGTGGCTCATATTTGTGTAGCGAGTTCAGCATAATCTATGAAAAAATTGACATATTTTTAACGTAGGCTATAATTATTTTTGTCTAAAGTAGGTTATAAGTAATTTACTGGACCTTTAAACGTAGGCGATTTTATGTAATTCGATGTTAAATAAGCTTAACATATGAACTGGTTTCGTATGACAACGTCCACAAACCTGGCCACCTCCGTTCAATTTGTTGGTGAGTTTGACTTTACTGAAGGAGATTGGGGTTTTCATCCAGTGCGCACCGAAGTTTGGTGAGTCTGGATGGATGTAGACGCAGCTCGGGGCTTGTGGCTCGGGTTTGCCACCCGGTACCCATTCACCGTTCACATACTTCCACCTGTGATTGTCTGCTGCCACAAAATCCAGTAAGACGGAGTACATGGCGTTTGGATCCAGACCGGACACATTCACCTTGAGCACTGGGAACATGCGCCTGATCACAACAATGAGAGGCATTTCGACTTGAAGCATCATCGTTCGTATTTGATAATTGATCTCTCGAATAAATCAAACAATTAAATTCCGCCTAAATTATAATAGCCTTAAAGGATGGCCTATGGCAATAAGTTTGTAAACTGACACAAATATAAACCTAAAATTTGACGTGACAAAACCTGAATTAACTATAGCATTTAATATGGCAATCAACTAATAAACAGCTCAATGGTTATAACAATTGCACATTTTGACTTTTTAGAGTGTATTTCTATTGCTTATGATTATGATAATGTGAATAATGTTTTTTCTGGCTAAAAAAAAATACCTGCCATTCTTGGTCACTATCATTTCATTCGTCAGTTCTTTGAACTTCTGCCAAAGTTCATTTTCATCCAAACTGACTTTAAGGTCCCTTTCTGTTGGATCTCCTTTCTCGCTGCCAGCTTGAAGTTCATTTTCTACTGCAGTCAATAAATGATCCACCCGATACTGGATGTTCTTTTCCAGACAGTCACTAGTCCCAGATGCCATTCTGCTATCCAATAGGCTCCAACACGATAAATAAATAAATATCCAAAAATGCACGAGCTCTTCTGTCAAAATGCGCACAAGACTAGAAGAGATGCAGCCAATTAAATACTACCAGGTAAAACGCTCTCCATGCCTTGCTCAGGAAAGCTCTGATTGGCTGGTCTCCGCTTTGATGTATGAGTTCTGACCACTCATTGGTTCAGAGATCTGGTGTAAAGAAATGCGTAAATATTTACACACACATATAGCCACAACGGCACATTTAAAAATGTATATATAGACGATTTTCTCACAAAAACTTGATTTAAAAAAATCAATGCAAGTCAAATCATATGGGTTGGAAAATGTAACTATAGGTTACTTAAAACTGGGGATACATTGTTCGTTTTTAATTCAAAATGTATGCCTGTAAAAGATGATATATGTTATCTGCTGAATGCCACTGTGGGGAAAATGCTAAACAAAAACAAAAAAAAAGCATAACGTTTCCGTTTATTTTGCTACGTTTATTTTATCGAGCAGCCTAGAATGATCATTATTAAAAAGTTCAGAAAATTTGTTTAGTAAAAGATTAATGCAGTCCGCTAGCCTAATTATACACCCAATGGCCGTATAAGTCCATGCCCGTGCTGATGAAACGTTATAGTAGATGTTTATGAGTTTAAAGCCCGTGGGAATCTTTTTCCGAGGTGTCAAAAGCAGAGGAAACGCCATCCGACTCGACGCGGTCCAGGACAATGGATGTTCATAAAAAAGCGTGAAAGCGTCATCTAGGCGACAACACTTCCGGTAAAAATGGATGAGATTTCACAACAAGTACCTATTCTGGAATGAATTGTATATTGAAAGCATCTGAATACCAAAATATGTGTACAAATTAAGACAGGCTTGAACTTATAACATTCATCCAGACATGATTTAAACAGCAGACTAGCTATAACATAACAGAAAGTGCGTAAAGCTAGGTCTATAGACTGTAAAATCTAGAATCATTTTGTTATTTATTAAGTAAATTCATAAATGAAATAATGCAATGGAAATTACATTTACATAATTTGCAGGACATTTTCCTCATTTTTTCTTTCCCCATTCTTAACAGCACTAAAGTTACAGATCATCACAGTGGTCTATGTATAATTTGTCCACATTTTCACTTCACAGTTTTCCACCTGAAACAAAGTAAAATAGCAGTTTACTTAAATTTTGATTTAATATTCTATTTGTATTATTTAGTTGGTTTGCTTGATTGAATTTCATTATAAAAACAACTTTATACTTAATTTGAATGCATGAGTTCACACTTTTAGGTATCTTTAACTACATTATTGTGTTCATGTTTTATTGCAAAACAATATGGACAGTTATGGACATGTTTAATTGTGGAATTTATATAACAGTGTAGTTACAATTAATTATTGTAATTACAAAAATGTACACAATACTGTAAGTGCATTATATTAAATGATTAAAACACATACAGTACCTCAAAAGAATGACCAGTATAGATGTCAGATAAGCATAGAGGCACATCTGTATTTGATAAATGAGGATCTCCAGCACAACTACATGGGGATTCCTCTGTGCTTTTCCCAGCTGGCTGCAAACTACGTGCATGAATGACATATTACAAAGTTTGTAGTATTACACATTCCTAAACACTCTTCATTCATATAGTTCCTGACCTTGGTGAGAAATGTGCATTTGAACATTCACTTAAGGATGCTGGGTTCTCAGGTTTACTCTGATCAAGCTGGTGTATTGTAGGGTCAGGCTCTGCAGGGCATCTGGTCTTTCGAATTTGGACATTGTGAGAACATTCATGCTTCATCTCCTCAAAATAAAAAAGTTTTGATGTTGAGAAAAGTAAAATATAAAAGCACATTAGGTAAAGGAATACAGTAGGTGCCCCAAAGCAAACATATAGTCATCATTTACACATCTAAAGGCACCATTTTTGAAGTGAACAAAAGTGTGAATTCAGTGGAATTGGATTTGATAGGGTTGTAGAAGGCGAAATCATTAGTGACTACTATTAAGGGTCTAAACTCTTCGAAAAGGTACTGTTGAATTTCAGAAGACATGGAATATAGTGCATTAATCGTATGAACTTTTACCTTCATGATACTTTATGTTCTTTTTCTATTCTTTTATTTATCAGAACCCATAATTATCATGTTACATTTGTTAAGATAAATCATCAAAAGTACATCAATGGATCAAAACAAAAAACATTCAGTCTTAAATCTCCTTTTGGGTTTCATAAAGAAAGAAAACAAAATGTGTCCAAATAACAAGTAAATTAAAATTGTCAATTTTCATGGTAAATTTAATTTTGTTTAAACTTCTCCTTTTATAAAAAAAAGTTAATAAATGTGAATTTGTAGAACTGAGAAAGCTTGTGTGACTAACCAATTCTTTGATGCTGAAACCATCTGTGCATTGTAAGCTCCATTTTCCATTTTTTGCCATGATTCTGCTTACAAAGAAAATTTATAATAATATCAAATGTCTATACATTTAAATTAGATATAATGAACATTGCAAATGTAAATTACTCACCTCTGGGTGTCAGCCATGTGAGAAAGAGAGAGGTTGTGCATTAATCTCATTTTGTGGGTAATGTCAGTAGTCTTTGACTGGATCAGTGGCTCATGGGTTCTCTGTTATAATGAAAACAGAGAAACATGGACACAAAATCCAAACATGTGCACCTAACTGTTAGCCCTACAATTGTATTGACTTCCCCCTGGAGAATGGTGTCTGCTAAATAAATAAATGTGAATTTAATTTACCTTAAAAAGCAAGTTGGAGCTGACTTTTTCCAGGAAGGTGGACTGCAGAGTAAAAAACTTTGGCACTTGGAGCTCGCGAGTAAAGACCTGTGGAGACAAGATGCACTGCATAAATAGTATATATATATATATATATGTGTGTGTGTGTGTGTGTGTGTGTGTGTGTGTGTGTGTATACACATTTATATATATATATATATATATATATATATATATATATCACTCAAAAATGCTGGGTTGTTTTAACCCAACTTTGGGTCAAATATGGACAAACCCAGCCATTGGGTTAAAATGTATTATTAAATTTTTAACCCAACGTTTGGGTTTATATATACACACAGTAGCCTACTGTGCAAAAGTCTTACGCATCTTAGTAGTTTAACCCCAGAAAAATACTTTTATTCATATTCTGTAAGTAGGAAATATCAGTCTCACCATCATCAAGTCTGTCTGTGATAACAAATTGAGACAGACTAAATCCAGAAAAACTGTGTAAGTCACAATGCTTTCAATAATAATGTCATAAATCAACACTATAAATAGATTTTAATTATCAGATAACTTAATTAACTTCTATTAACTAAATCAAATCAATATTTGGTGTGACACTTTGCGTTTGAAACAGCATTTGTCCTCGGTACACTTCCACATAGTTTTTCAGGAAGCTTTGCAAGCAAGTTTCTTCAAGCATCTTGGAGATGGTGCCACAGTTCTTCTTGATTTAGAGTGTCTCGGTTTCTTCCTGTAATGTTCATTCATTACATAAATAGGAAAGTTTTTTGTGTATTCCTTCATTGGTGATTATTCATCACTTACATGGGCTATTTGATGTCAGTGGGATGTATCAGTCAGAGGTGACAGCACAAGTGTCATCTCTCTCAGTTGCTGTGCCACTCCGTGCACCTCACAATCTTTCAAGACACACAGTGTGTCGTCTCACACCCTGAGGTGACAGGGTTTGAGCGAGGGAGCCATCTGGGACAGCTGAACTGTTTATAGGTGCTTATTCACACACGTCACAAAATGAAGGATGTTAGGTGGACCTCACGTCTACAGCTTCTACACAACAGCAACAATTGCAGTGGTAAAGCCTTGACTGTTAGTCATGCATATGCAAGCACATTGTAATGTAAGTGGAGAACAGGTGTAACATTTTGTAAAATCCCTGTAAACCAAAGTGAGAGTGACATTAGATCACATTCAACTGTTTACATGAGAAGTAATGACTGATTTTACATGCCTACACTTACATACCTAACTACAAGAAGTCCAAAATTAGATACCCGCCATATGGCTTTTTTTTATAACGGGCTTATTATTATTTTTTATTAATTTATTTCAAATAAATTCTAAATATTTGTTAAAAAAATAGGACAGATAATGATTTTTTTAAACCCTTAAATGCTAAAATATATTCCAAAATATAATTCAAGAGGCAAGAAAATACATTTCCAATGTTAAAATACATAAAATATACGAAGAGTTCAGATGCAAAAGCCTCTAAGTGCCATTTGAAATTTTCTTCTAGAATGATCATTTTTATCAAGCTTGTATATTTAAGTTCAGTGATTTCACTTAAATGGCAATGATAATTACCTATTAATTGTTATTTAAGTGAAATTACTGAACTTAAATTTACAAGTTTGATAAAAATCATCATTAAAGAAGAAAATTTCAAATGGCATTTAGAGGCTTTTGCATCTGAACTCTTCATACAGTATATAGTATATATATGACTTAAGAGTCTGACTTGAAATCATTATTAATTATTATTAATACAAACAAATGTTTTGCTTTAAATACTGATTCTCTAAAACAATTAAGTATTCAGCTCAAAGGCAGCCATAACACAGACATTTCCTCATGCAAGTGAGAGATGTTTGGATGTCTTCTAAAGGGCTATATTCTCTCAGACATGCACACAGTGTCTGTCCATGTGATGGATGTCTGGTACATTTTTTTCCATGAGATTCTGACTGTGTTTTCTTATGAGATGACACCGTAAATGGGCCGCAGGGCTGATTAATACCTGTGACTACTGGTCCTTCCCAACTCTGTTTGCCATCCCCTATCCCTCTTCCAAACCCATGCTCTGTTTACACACATCCACTATGACAGGGAGGTGTGAGAAAAATGAACCTTTCGTGTGCTTCTGCAGGTTCCTCTCACATCCCAGTTACTCCTACTCTTCAACCTCCTTGCCTCGCCTCTACGCAGTCTGAACTCTGGCAGCTACTGGTGTCTTGCAGTCAACTTTAGTCCACCTAAATGCTAGTTTTCACATAGCAGGCAACTAAAAAAAAAATTGATATACCCTGGATTTTCAGTAAAAATGTTTTACTGCAAGAACTCCTAGAGCTTTCAGTTAAGCTTGTCCTTAGATCTTCAGGCTGTTTTGAGTTTTTTGTTTACTTCCAATATCCCAATATTCTAAGGCAATATTCAGTTGACTTGAGGGATATGTTTAACATCTATTAAAGCATTCTAAGTAAATAAGTCTTCCACAAACTTAAGCTTCATTTATTTATTTATTTACATTTAGAATTTCAGACCAAACTTTTTTATTAAATTTAATATTTTAAAAGTATGGATGATGTGCTGGATTACTTTCTAGACTTCACAGACCAACACTATTAAACATATTGTGTTTAATAGTGTGGGGGTGGAAAAAGGTATAAATAAAAAGTGCAGGATCTATTTGAAAGCAGTTTTCTTTAATTAAAATAAACTCAGGATTGCACTTAGGCTCTTTGGAAACAAAACATGATATGCCAACACATTCTCACCCCAAGGCGTCACCTTTGACCATGCTTCAATATTTGACGTTTTAGGCGCCCTTTAGCGTCACTTACATGACGCGATCCTACGGCGTCATCTAACTGACGCTAAAGGAAAGCGTCAGTTAGAGGACGCGGTTAGGTTTAGGTATGGGTTGGGGGTAGGGTACACGAGATCCTAGGGCGTCATCTAACTGACGCTAAAGGGCGCCTAAAGCGTCAGATATTGAAGCATGGTCAAATGCTTCCCAAGGCGTCAGTTAGGTGACGCCTTGGGAGTGAGAATGGGCTGGATATGCAGACCAACCACCAGCGAGATCTGTCAAAGACTAGAAACTGAACAAGATAATTAAAGCCCGGAACACACTAAGCCGACGGTCGGCCGTCTGGCAGATTTTGTGTGTCGGCCGACTAAGTTTCCTTGGTGTGATACGCACGGTTCCGTGCCGTCGGCTGAAAATAGTCCTCGTCGGCTTTGTTTCGCTCGATTCAACATGTTGAATCGGCGTCGGGCCGTTGGGGAAAGAGAGAACTCTGATAGGCTGTTCAGCAGTGAAAGAGTCAGTGCACGAGAATAAAAGCAAAACAGCAAGCAAAGAAGTCAAAACAGTAAAGATAGAAGCCGGCTGTTCTTATGTTACGTCTTCTTACCTGAGTGTTCTTTGGCGAACATTTCAATATTAACATGGGGATACATGGCAAGCAAGGCAGGGCAGAGAGCAACAGAGCGAGGTCGGTAACACAAGTGCTAATATGCGACAACTGCAAGCCACACCATTATTTAGTCCACTGAGGAACTCTGGAATGATAAAAGAAGGGGTGACGACATTAAAGGACGAGAAAGGACCAGGCCTGGGACATTCATTTTGGTGTTGTTGTTGTTGTTGCCACTCTACTTTTGTTTTGTGGTTTGTCTATTTTATTTTTAGAGTTATGCTTAACGTTTGTCGGTTCTCGCCTCCTCCTTCCCTTAACTTAGAATTTGTTACAGTGAAGTTTACAGGGGTAAATTTAACAGAGGCCAGTTAGTACAAGATGGATGTGTAGGTAAAACTCACTCTCCTGGCCTCAAGAGGCACACTAGCGCATCCATGCTGGTTATCAAGTTTCAATCCTAGCTTGGAGCTTGGATGTAACAAAAGTCCTTGATGTTGCAAATTGATGAATTGCTAGAAAATAGGCCAATCACAATTACACTGTGCCATTGAATTAATTGCAGAAGTTTAAAACTTTAACCCTCTGGGGTTGATGAACGCTGTTCGATAGGAGGATTGGAAAAAGTGGACTGTATAAGGTGATGGTTCAGATCTAACTTTCCTCAATGGGGTGTCGGTCAGAACACACTGGAATCAGATCAGTTCCATGCAAAGGAGGTTTATTTGTTAACAGTCTTTGGGCTGTACACAACACAGCAATACACAGGCTTTACTTATCACTGGTATTTGTGCGTACGTGTGTGTACGTGTGTGTGGTCTACAAAGGGAAAATAAAGATATATATATTAACAATATGTCTTGAGTATTATTACACAAACATAGTTTCCATAAACAGATACATATTTCTCAAATAAAGCAATTCTCAAGTGAAAGCTAGAGTAAGATAAAGGAATAAACACATACTCAATGATATTATTATACAACACCGCCACTTAGCGGTCAGAAATGGCATAACATTCAAAACCGAAACCAAATCTGAGGTAATTTAAACGAACGTCAGATAATCATAAAGATCACGTCCTTAAACTCAAAATATAAAGAGTTTCATACACTAATGTAAACGATCACACATACATATGCACAATCAAACACTGGGTGCCATCTCAATACTATAAATTACAAGTAATATCAAACATAAACGGCACATTTCCGAGCCCTTAACCTCACGCGATCAACGGATTCATCTCTCTTAAACATGCATCACTTAATGAGAGTAAGACATCAAGGCTTTACAGCTCCTTAGCAAGTATTGATAACCAAACTAAGTAAACAGTCAACTTACATTTATTCATTGACGCACTTCGCACACACAGTCTTGCTTGTACAGTCCCGCTCTGAACTGATGATGACTGAAAGTAAGTAGCGCATGCGCACATGAGTCGGCCTTTCTAACACAGCCGCCCCCAAATTTGGTTACAAATTTGCTCCATTAAAAGGCCGACACTATATGGACTACCATTAGTCACTAGTGTGGCTTTCATCCCCTTCATCTCGGATCTCTGGAAGAACAATCAGTCGAGAGATGGGTCTTGTATAGACTTTGTCCTTAATCTGCACCTCGACCGTTCGAACTCGACTATCAACCCCAGGAAAG